ATTAGGTAAACAAAGTAATTGTTTTTTTTATTAATAGTTAAATGTGTTAGAAATTGGCTTAGTTTGGCATAAATTAAAATAAACTAGTTATATACCAAATTATAAATTTAGTTAACAATACTCATATCCCGATGGCTATATTGTTCATAACTGAATTATTCCCCTGATTTTCAGACATACTGCAAGTGCGATGGATGTTAAAAAAGGGTGGAAGGTAATGCCGATGATGCGCTTGTTACTATGCTAACTTCCTGCAGACATGGAAGAATGTCACATTTTGAAAAACAATGATGCACTCGAAACAATTAACTATCCACAGCATAGAATCCGGCTCATAAATTTGACCAACATCTTATTAGTTGAAGAAAAGTTCATGATTGCTTTGCAGTTTGTTTTTACACCTGAGAATTTGATTGTCTCCCTTTCTTCATCAGGAGTGTAGGTGTTATTACAGTATATGCTAATTATAGTGTCATCACTCCTTCACATGTCATGTTGGCGGCAAGTTAGGACTTCATTGAGGTTCTGAGTTATTATGGTGGATGGAATAAGATGTTAAGTAAAGATGAGTTGTTTTGGTATGAGAAAAATTGTTGTATATTTGGGTCAGTGTTGAGTGGTTACGATAAATTAAATTCGTTAAGAATGTATTTAAAAAAAGTACTGATGTAACACAAAGTTGCATCTTTATCATATATATATATATATATATATATATATATATATATATTTATATATATATATATATATATATATATATATATATATATATATATATATATATATATAAATTGCTTCTTTATCATCTATCGACAATTTCAAATTGTCATCTTCTGTGGGGGGATATTTTTCCATAAACAAGCGAAAACTAAGACTAAATATGTGCAGGGTAAATCGAAAGAAGTTATTTTTGAAATTATGCTATTTAATTACTCACCAGAACATATATTTAACTGTCAATAAATAGCATAATTAAAAAAAAAATATTTCCGTGTACACTACACATATTATATCTTAGTGCTTGCCTGTGTATGGAAAAATTTGAAATTTTCGAAAGTAGTTGGCCCGTCAATCCTATCTGTTAATAGTTTAAATATAAGGATTTTATTATTCAAGTAACTGATAGTAAGCTAATGTTTCATTAAGTCTCGTTAGCGACGTGATTTTCGTCATTAATCACATTAACTAACATTGTTAATACTTCTTTGTATAAAGTGCTTCTTTATCATATATATATATATATATATATATATATATATATATATATGTATATTTAGGCAGCAATCTTTCCTTTATGCATGTTTAATTAAAAACGACAGACAAGGTACTACGGTTAAGCTTTTATTTAATTTTTCTGGTGTTCTAACAAGAGCTTTCTCTTCTGGACAAAGGGTGTAAGAACTGTCCAAATGTTTTATATTTCCGAGCGCTTATATATATATATATATATATATATATATATATATATATATATATATATATATATAGGAGTTCAGAGTCTTTCGTTTTCCTAGACTGGTTCTTTCCAAGGCTTTAAAAATAATTTTGTCTCGTTTCAGTTATTTCTATCAGACTTCTAAGTCACTCAATATGTTTATGACATTTGATTAACATTGACTCTTTCATTCTGTTATTATCCCAAGTGTTAAGATTGATACAGTCCTGTGGAAAATGCCATTCTTCTATTTAAATGTAAAGGTTTTAACATACTATTAATAAAATCCGAAAATGTGCTGCTCAGAAAAATAAATCCGTGAAACGCTATTCAAAGGAACTGGTTGTCTAATTATTTTAATGAAAATATTACATAATTAACTAAATATCATGACAAATAACAAGGACTCACAATTGAACCCACTCATACACTATCTCGATTTCAAACACACACACACACACACACACACACAGAGAGAGAGAGAGAGAGATATATATATATATATATATATATATATAAAAAGCAAAGAAAGACATAAAAAAGAATGGAAATGAAGACGTATTTTATTTCTTCCTCTTTCCAATGTAATAAAATTAAGTAAAGAAAGAGAGAAAATAGAAGTGAAATAAAGACAACAAAAGGTTCTTTCTTTCTCTCGTTCAATCGTTTAATGAAGAAAAGGAAATTAAAGGAAATTATGACATGAAGAAAAATTAAAGAAGATGATGACGAAAAAAAGGATTGAAATTTTTAGTTGTTTCTCTCCATTTTGATTATTATTTTCTTGTTCGTTTTTCACTCTTTTAAAAGTGTTTGAAAATTGTTCGGGAAAGAGTAAAATAAAAGAAAGATAAGAAAATAATATTTATACTTGCTTCTATCATTTTTAATGTTTTCCTGTTTTTAGTTTATCTATCTCAAATGATTAGGGGCAATTAGATAGATAGATAGATCGATAGATCGAGAGAGATAGATAGATATTAAAATTTGGATTCTAAGCTATAGACAGGATGAGGAAGTGATTGAATAAGAGAGAGATTGAGAGGAAGACTACGACATATGTCCGATCTTACATGTATAATTCCGAACATGAAGAGATTTGTTTGGAAATTTTGCCTGAAGTATTTCATAGGCTTTTAAAGTCGAGTGTTCAGAGGACTACAACTGACAGATAGATAGATAGATAGATAGATAGATAGATAGATAGATAGAATTTTCAAGGCATAATATGAAAAAGACAGATTGAGACTGATTAATATAATTAGATAGATATATAGAAACATAGTAATTGAACATAGATACAGTCAACGACGAAGTTATTCATACATTTATCAATTTTGAATATTTTAACCATTTTTCAGAAACTAATGCCCATATGATACCAGGTTATTTTTATAGCTTAATAAGCATAGAAAACGAATATAAAACATACTTTTCAGAATAATTATTTTAATAAAACAAATTTGACAGGCGAAATATCAAAATATGAAATGGCAAAGTTATTCATATAGTACTAAAATCGCATTAAATTGAGCCTGGAATGTAAGGCAGAGTGATTCAGTGTCTCCATATTCCCATCACAGCAAATATATTTTGAATATTTTTCCAAACTAGCCGAACAAAGTTTAGCAACCCTGATGGCTTTACGAATCACCAGTCATCATCCTCAATGACGCATTTCAACACGGGCGCCCAAGGCCATATGGGTCAAGTCTCCGAACGAACACATAATATAATGCCCTACAGGACAACGTCTTAATGTCGGAGAGGCTATCCGTCGCCTATAAGATATTTTTTCAGTGTAATCCGGCATTCACGATGGAAGGTGCATTCGCCTCGGCGTAAACGAAGATCCTTTCGCCAAGCCCGAGTGTACACTTCTCTAGAATGGGAAGTTCTTACGAGAGCCATCCTTCCAGAATTCGCTGTCATCATCAGATTGCTGATATATTCGATCTAGGAACGTGATGCAAGGCGTAAACTGACGAGTCTCAACACTAGGCATGCTTAGACCGCCTTCAGAAGGGTGGAGGCAACAGTTTTCCCAAATACTTTGGGTGACTTGCCTGCACACAGGCAGGAGAGCTTGAGCCTCATAGTGTAGTAGACAAGTGAAAATGACATAGTGAAGGGTGATATTTATTTTGGTTATATACAGAAATGTGTCAAAAAAACAAAATAGGATTTGGGAAAAAAGACAATCTTTTGTCTTAACATTAAATTTAGCTAACCACATACTCTGACCCAAACATGCAACAATATTCCTTACATCAAAACGACTCATTCTTACTCCATCCACCTTAATAACTCAGAATCTCGATTAAGTCCTAACTAGCCGCTATATGTAATCTTCATTGTCTGTGGGAATAAGGGAATAAAACAGCAATTAAAAAAAAAAGAATAATCCAAAATAGTATTTACAATATGAAAACAAAACAATTTACAAGAGACCAAACAGAATAATGTCAACAATGACCCCTTCCAAAATATTTAAATGCGGTAGAAACATCTAATTCTATAAAACATTCAATCATTCCAATCACTCACTCAGACATGCAATTATTCAAAGAACAACATATACGAAAATCACACCCGAAATGAAACACACCCTGCATTCACCAGAGAACTGAAAATTCTGCTCACCTAAACGTGGGAGGGAAGAGGAATTAAACTAAAGAAAGAGGGGGGGCAGAAATAAAAGTGTCCAATAAGCATACATCCCCTAACTAAGTTAACTTGAAGGACAAGTAGTATTAAAATATTTATTTAAAAAAATGGTGCTGGCAAGCAAATTTACGGCGGTGCGAAAGTGGCCGATGCCGAGTCATAATTTTGCTGTTACTTGAAGAATGTCTAAAACATTACCAGGAGCAACGGACAAAATGTGGCAGACATATTCTCGGTATACACGAATGGTAGACTTATAGATATGTAAGATAAATTCTGGAGAGAAAAAGTGCCTATCAATACATTGAATCTACTTTCTTCTGTCCCTGTCTACTTAAAATTATTCGTATTTTTAAAGTATCATATATGTTTATTCTTCTATGTCTGTTTTCAATCTGAGTTTCAATGTTGTTGCTATTAAGCATAATTATGTGTGTGCGTATGTACCTGTGTGTGTACATGCGATTTACTGAAGACATTTTCTTGAATTTAATCTGTTTTACTCGAGGCAAATTATTTCTCAGTTTTTTTTTTCTTCCTTCTAGTTTTCATTCTAATTACTCCTTTGAAATTTTACTATCACCAATTCCGTTTCCTTCAAGTCATAACTTATATTCCGGATTTTTCTTTCGTTTTCGTTTTTATTTCCATGAGTCTTTTTTATTCAGATATTTTTCCTATTCTTCTTTGCAGATGGACATTTTCTTTCTTTCATTTGCTTTTACTCGGTACCATGAATCGAGTTTCAAATAGTTTTCGCTGTTAAGCATTTCAACGTTTATTTCATTTTTGTATATATTACAAGTGACGTTACTTTGCCTGTAAATAATTTCCTTTTTTTTTCTTCCTTTCTTTCTTTTTTTCTTCGTTTCTTTTGTTCTTCTTTCTTTCACTTTTTATGTTCCTTCTTTTTTTTCTTTATTCACTTCATTCTTCCTTTAAGTCTTTTGTTTTGTTTGATTTTTCTTTCTTTCTTTCTTTCTTTCTTCCTTTATTCCTTTCTTTCTTTCTTTCTTTCTTTCTTTCTTTCTTTCTTTCTTTCTTTCTTTCTTCCTTTCTTTATGACTTTCCTTGCTACTTCTTTCTTTGTTTATTTCATTCATTCTTTCTTTCTTTCTTTCTTTTCTTTTCTTTTCTTCTTTTCTTTTGTTTATTTCATTATCATTCTTTCTGTCTTTCTGTCTTTCTTTCTTTCCTTTCTTTGTTTACTTCTTTTCTTTGTTTATTTCATTCATTCTTTCTGTCTTTCTTTCTTTCTTTCTTTCTTCCTTTCTTTATGACTTTCCTTGCTACTTCTTTCTTTGTTTATTTCATTCATTCTTTCTGTCTTTCTTTCTTTCTTTCTTTCTTTCTTTTTCTTTTCTTTCTAGCTTCTTCTTTTCTTTGTTTATTTCATTCTTTCTTTCTTTTTTTCTTTCTTTCTTTCTTTATTTCTTTTTTCATTCTTTCTTTGTTTTTTTTTATTTCATTCATTCTTTCTGTCTTTTTCTTTCCTTTCCTTTTTATGACTTTCCTTGCTACTTCTTTCTTTGTTTATTTCATTCATTCTTTCTGTCTTTCTTTCTTTCTTTCTTTCTTTCTTCCTTTCTTTATGACTTTCCTTGCTACTTCTTTCTTTGTTTATTTCATTCATTCTTTCTGTCTTTCTTTCTTTCTTTCTTTCTTTCTTTCTTTCTTTCCTTTATTCCTTTCCTTTACTTTCTTTCTTTCTTTCTTTGTTTATTTCATTCATTCTTTCTGTCTTTCTTTCTTTCTTTCTTTCTTTCTTTCTTCCTTTCTTTATGACTTTCCTTGCTACTTCTTTCTTTGTTTATTTCATTCATTCTTTCTGTCTTTCTTTCTTTCTTTCTTCCTTTCTTTATGACTTTCCTTGCTACTTCTTTCTTTGTTTATTTCATTCATTCTTTCTGTCTTTCTTTCTTTCTTTCTTTCTTCCTTTCTTTATGACTTTCCTTCTTCTTTCTTTCTTTATTTCATTCATTCTTTTTCTTTTTTGTTTATTTTTTCTTTCTTCCTTTTCTTTATGACTTTTCTTTCTTTGTTTATTTCATTTTTTCTTTCTGTCTTTCTTTCTTTCTTTCTTTTTCCTTTCTTTATGACTTTCCTTGCTACTTCTTTTCTTTGTTTATTTCATTCATTTTTTGTCTTTCTTTCTTTTCTTTCTTTTCTTTCTTCCTTTCTTTATGACTTTTTTTTGCTACTTCTTTCTTTGTTTATTTCATTCATTCTTTCTCTCTTTCTTTCTTTCTTTTCTTTCTTCTTTTTCTTTATGACTTTCCTTGCTACTTCTTTCTTTGTTTATTTCATTCATTCTTTCTGTCTTTTCTTTCTTTCTTTTTTTTCTTCCTTTCTTTCTTGGCTTTCCTTGCTACTTCTTTCTTTGTTTTATTTCATTCATTTTGTCTTTTTTTCTTTCTTCCTTTCTTTTTATGACTTTCTTTTCTTTTTTTCTTTGTTTTTTCATTTTCTTTTCTGTCTTTCTTTCTTTCTTTCTTTTCTTTCTTCCTTTCTTTATGACTTTTCCTTGCTACTTCTTTTTTTGTTTATTTCATTTTTCTTTCTTTCTTTCTTTCTTTTTCCTTTCTTTTGACTTTTTCTACTTCTTTCTTTGTTTATTTCATTTCATTCTTTCTGTCTTTCTTTCTTTCTTTCCTTCCTTTCTTTTATGACTTTCTTTTGCTTTCTTTCTTTGTTTATTTCATTCATTTCTTTTTCTCTTTCTTTCTTTCTTTCTTTCTTCCTTTTTCTTTCCTTTACTTCTTTTTTGACTTTCATTCATTCTTTCTGTCTTGTTTATTTTTCTTTCTTTCTTTCCTTTTCTTTGTCTTTTCTTTTTTCTTTCTTTCTTTTTTCTTTCTTCTTTTCTTCTTTTTCTTTCTTTTTCCTTTCTTTTACTTTCCTTGCTACTTTTCTTTTTTTATTTCATTTTCTTTCTTTCTTTCTTTCTTTCTTTCTTTTTCCTTTCTTTTTTCTTTCCTTCTACTTCTTTCTTTGTTTATTTCTTTCATTCTTTCAGTCTTTCTTTCTTTTTCTTTTTTATTTTCTTTATTCTTTCCTTGCTACTTCTTTCTTTTGTTTATTTCATTTTCTTTCTTTCTTTCTTTCTTTCTTTCCTTTCTTTATTTCTTTCTTCCTTTCTTTGCTGACTTTCCTAGCTACTTCTTTCTTTGTTTATTTCATTCATTTTTTCTTCTTTCTTTCTTTCTTTCTTTCTTTCTTTCTTCTTTCTTCCTTTCTTTTCTTTCCTTGCTACTTCTTTTTTTTTTTATTTGATTTCATTCTTTTCTGTCTTTCTTTCTTTCTTTTTTCTTTCTTTTTCTTTCCTTTCTTCTTTTTTTGTTTATTTCATTCATTCTTTCTGTCTTTCTGTCTTTCTTTCTTTCTTTCTTCCTTTCTTTATGACTTTCCTTGCTACTTCTTTCTTTGTTTATTTCATTCATTCTTTCTTTCTTTCTTTCTTTCTTTTTTTCTTTCTTTCTTTCTTCCTTTCTTCCTTTCTTTATGACTTTCCTTGCTACTTCTTTCTTTGTTTATTTCATTCATTCTTTCTGTCTTTCTTTCTTTCTTTCTTTTTCTTTCTTTCTTCCTTTCTTTATGACTTTCCTTGCTACTTCTTTCTTTGTTTATTTCATTCATTCTTTCTGTCTTTCTTTCTTTCTTTCTTTTCCTTGCTTCTTTTTCTTTTGTTTATTTCATTCATTCTTTCTTTCTTTCTTTCTTTCTTTCTTTCTTTATGACTTTCTTGCTTTTCTTTGTTTGTTTATTTCATTCATTCTTTCTTTCTTTCTTTCTTTTCTTTTTCTTTCTTTCTTTCTTTCTTTCTTCCTTTCTTTTTCCTTGCCTTGCTACTTTTTTTTGTTTATTTCATTTCATTCTTTTCTTTCTTTCATTCTTTTTCTTTCTTTTCTTTTCTTCTTTATGACTTTTTCCTTGCTACTTCTTTTTTTTGTTTATTTCATTCATTCTTTCAGTCTTTTCTTTCTTTCTTTTCTTTCTTCCTTTCTTTATGACTTTCCTTGCTACTTCTTTTTTGTTTATTTCATTCATTCTTTCTGTATTTCTTTCTTTCTTTCTTTCTTTCTTTCTTTCTTCCTTTCTTTATGACTTTCTTCTTTCTTCTTTCTTTCTTTGTTTATTTCATTCATTTTTTCTTTCTTTCTTTCTTTCTTCCTTTTTTCTTCCTTTCTTTTATGACTTTCCTTGCTACTTCTTTTTCTTTGTTTATTTCATTCATTCTTTCTGTATTTCTTTCTTTCTTTCTTTCTTTCCTTTCCTTTACTTCTTTTTGTTTATGATTCTTTCTGTCTTTCTTTCTTTCTTTCTTTCTTTCTTCCTTTCTTTTGTTTATTTCTTTGTTTATTTCATTCTTTCTTTCTTTCTTTCTTTCTTTTTTTTTTCTTTCTTTCTTCTTCCTTTTTTTTTTTTATGACTTTCCTTGCTACTTCTTTCTTTTTTATTTTTCATTCATTCTTTCTTTCTTGTTTTTCTTTCTTTCTTCCTTTCTTTATGACTTTCCTTCTACTTCTTTCTTTGTTTATTTCATTCATTCTTTCTGTCTTTTTTTTTTCTTTCTTTTTTTTCCTACTTCTTTCTTTGTTTATTTCATTCATTCTTTTTTCTTTCTTTCTTTCTTTCCTTTTGGCTTTCCTTGCTATTTCTTTTTTGTTTATTTCATTCATTCTTTCTTTTTTTCTTTCTTTCTTTTTTTCTTTCTTTTCCTTTCTTTCCTTTTTCTTCCTTTCTTTTTATCTTTCCTTGCTTTTTTTGTTTATTTCATTCATTCTTTCTTTTCATTCTTTTTCTTTCTTTCTTTCTTCCTTCTTTATGACTTTCCTTGCTACTTCTTTCTTTGTTTATTTCATTCATTCTTTCTGTCTTTCTTTCTTTCTTTCTTTCTTTCTTACTACTTCTTTCTTTGTTTACTTCATTCTTTCTCTATTTCCTTGTTTACTCCTTTCTTTTTTAATTTTTGCTTAGTTTAATTCTTTCATTCTTTCTCGCATTCTTTCTTTTTTTCTTTCCCTGCTTGTTTACTTCTGTCTTTTTTCTTCCTTTCAGTGTTTAATTCTTTCTTTTTTTATTTCTTTCGTTAGTTACTTTCTTTGTTCAGTTCTTTCATTCTGTCTTTTATTGTTTCGTTATTTGTTGATTTCTTTCTGTCTTTTTTTTACTCTTTCTTTCTTTGTTTAATTCTTCCTTTCTCTCTTTCTTTCTCTCTGCCTTTATTTCTGCCTTTCTTTCTATCTTTGTTCACTTCTTTCTTTCTTTCTTTCTTTCTTTCTTTCCTTGTTTACGACTTTGTTTCCTTCTTTCATTCTTTCTTTCTTTCTTCTGGCTTTTATTATTTCTCTATTTATTCCATTCCTTGTTTACTTTTTAATGTTCTTTTTTCTTTCTTTCTACTTCTTTATTTGTTCACTTCTGTCTTTCTATCTTTCTTTCATTTTTTTCTTTTCCTTTTTCTTTAATTTATTTCTTACTTCCTTTGTTCACTTCCATATTTCTTTGTCTTTCTTCGTCTACTTATTTGTTTGTTCACTTCTATCTGTCTTTCTTTCCCTCCTTGTTTATTTCTTTCTTTTTGTCTTTCTTTTTTGTTTTTCCTTCTTTCTTTTACACTTTTCCCTTGTTTCTTTCTTTCTTTCTTTCTTTCTTTAATACCTTGTTTTCCTAATTCTTTTTTTCTGACTGACATTCTTTCATCCCTTCTGCCTTTCTTTCTTTGTATACTTCTTTCTTTCTTCGTTTTTTTCCTTCTTTCTTTTCTCTTTATTTGTTTAGTTCGTTCTTTGTTTATGACTTCTTCGTTTATTTCTTTCTATCTTTCTTTCTTTGTTCATTTTCTTCTTCTGTCTGTCTTTGTTTACATTATTTTATTTCCTTCATCCTGTTCTACTTTCTTTCTCTTTTTCCTTCTTTCTTTCTCTTTTTCCTTCTTTCTTTCTCTTTTTCCTTCTTTCTTTCTTATTCGATTTTGCATTGAAAGAGGAAAGAATAAAAATAAAATAGGAAAGAAACGTAACCCCCCATCCTCAGAAAAAAAGAAAACATAAATACTAAGAATAATAAAAATATTCAATGATTTGATGTGATGGAGTATGGAAGCCGGAAAGTGAAAGAATAATTAAAAAAAAAATATGTAAAACGAAAGAATAATAATAAAAAAGAGATGAATAAAAGAAAGGAAAAAAAAAGATCTATCTATCTATCTATCTATCTATCTATCTATCTATCTATCTATCTATCTATCTATCTAATTGCCCCTAATCATTTGAGATAGATAAACTAAAAACACGCAAACACTAAAAATGATAGAAGCAAATAAAAATACTATTTTCTTATCTTTCTTTTATTTTACTCTTTCCCGAACACTTTTTCAAACATTTTTAAAAGAAAGAAAAAACGAACAAGAGAATAATAATCAAAATGGAGAGAAACAACTAAACATTTCAATCTCTTCTTTCGTCATCATCTTCTTTCCATTTTCTTTATGTCATAGTTTCCTTTAATTTCATTTTCTTCATTAAACGATTGAACGAGAGAAAGAAAGAATCTTTTCTTGTCTTTATTTCACTTCTTTTTTTCTCTCTTTCTTTGCTTAATTTTTATTACATTTTTCTATAATCAGTGGAAAGAGGAAGAAATAAAATACCCACGTCTTCATTTCCATTCTTTTTTCTTTCTTTCTTTGCTTTCTTTTTTTTTTTCATTTATCTATAATCTTTGGAAAGAGAGTAAGAAATAACATTTACTCGTCTTCAATTTCGCTTTTTATCTTTCTTTCTTAGATTAATTTTCTTTTATTTTCTTGATAATCTTTTGAAAAAAATCGACAGAAAGAACAAGAAAAGAGTAAACAAAATGGATATAAACAACTAAAATCGTTATGCTTTCTCTATGTTAATTTTAATTCTTTCTCTTCCTCTCCTGTTTATTTGTTCTTTTCCGTTATCTTGACAACACCTATCTTTGCTATATGAACCCTCTTTTCTTTCCAAACGCACATTTAACGCCTTCTATCATTGCATGCCTTAAAGACCTATTGAAATCATCAAGTAGCGTTTACGCACCCTCTTTCTTTGACATCCAAGCCAAACAACATCACCGTCTCTCCATTTCTTAGTCGGTTCATTGAACAGAAAAGCAAATCTTGGAGCAATTTTCTGAGACGTCTCTTTGAAGACGAATCCACCATTACACAAGCAGATTTTTTTTTAAAACCGACAACCGTCGAAACGAAGAAAAAAAGACGTTTTTCTTTCTTCTACTTATATATATTTTAAAAAAGAATTTCGTTTGTACTTTGAATTCATTTTTCGGAATCTGTCCTTTAATAGTACCACCTTCAGGGTCTGTTAGTGTTTATTCGCAGTTAACCTTAGTGTACTTTGTTCAAAACTAATGAATACTTTCAGCATAATCATCAGAGCAATTGATTTTCGAGCAAGTAAAGAGGAGGGTAGGTCAGAAGTGATTTACAAAAGAGGAAATGTGGATGAGTCTCTTCGAGTTAAGACAAGAGATCGGCATGCAAATATTATCAAACCTCAGGGTGTGTTTTGCCTATCTCAGTATGTTCTCACTGACTTTCTCACATGCCATCTCTCTCTCTCTCTCTCTCTCTCTCTCTCTCTCTCTCTCTCTCTCTTTTACACTCTGTATTTACTTTCGTCATTATCAACAGAAATAAGAGATAAGATAGAAACAAGAGAGAGAGAGAGAGAGAGATAAGTCTGTCCATATGTATGTATGTATGTATGATATATATATATATATATATATATATATATATATATATATATATAAATATATATATATATTCGCACGTACAGCATAACATATGTGGGATAATATGCAGATAATTTTATACCTTCTTTATATATATATATATATATATATATATATATATATATATATATAATAAAAAAGATAATCCGCAAACGTCATTGGTTGATTTGTGCATTCTTTTAATTTAAAATCTATATTATACTCTATTTTCCATAATTCTGCTACACGTATTTCTGGTTTCTTTCGGCAAAGAGTACATATTTCCAAATAATATAAAAATGAATTTTTTGCGTGGTAATAATTCAAATGTCTTTTGATCGCTAACAAGCAAATAATACATTTTTATAATATGTGGAAAGATCTACTCTTTGCTTAAACAACACAGAAACTGGTGAAGTATAATTATCGTGAATAATATATATTTAAAAAAAATCTACATTTCAACCAAAAAGGTCTGTCTTCTTTTTAAAATACACATATTTCTCCCGTTGGTTCAACTATAACCTCTTCCATATATATATATATATATATATATATATAGTTGGATTGATGTGAGTTTAGGACCCTGTGTTTCACGCTATTTATGATCGTCAGACAAACTGCTGAATTTTTAAATTTTGGTTTTATATACGGTTGCATATGTCGGTGTTTTTATGATAGTAGGAAAAAGATGTCGGATAGCCACTTTTCGTACGCAAATATACATACACGCACGTTCACTCATGGACATACGCAGGCATACATATACGCACGCTCACTCATTGCAGCTCGCATAATCATAAATATATATATAAAAACTGTGTGGGACTGGACATATATGCGCATCCATGTCTCGTTGAGTACATACGTATGCAATTAGTCGCTATATTCAATGTTGGCTTTTGTAGCAAACATATTTCGTCAGTTGCAGAGTCAACACACAGACCGTTGGTCTATTTTCTTCACTGAATAATGTTTACTTGTACACACCTATATACGTATTCCCACGCGTTTACACATTTTCTACCAGTCTGTTTTCTTTTTTTAGGAAGGGAGGCTGTGTAAAACGATGTTGGGTAAAATTACTATTATTTTTAATTTTTTAATGCTGTTTTGTTTATATTTTAAAGCCGGTTATTTGCTTGTTTTTGTTTTCGATTGCTCATATGTAAATGGTAGATATTCCAATTTATAATACTTATTAGTATTTTTGCGGGGGAATTAATTTTGCTGGGGGGAGTAAGTATAATTGTGGACAGATATGGTAATTGTAATTGCGGTGCGGTAATTAGTGTGGACTAATGAGGTGACGGAAAGTGAAATACATTGAAACCAGTGGACCCTTAAAGTTGTCTGTTTTCATTATATATATATATATATATATATATATATATATATATATATATATATATATATATATGTCTCATTAAATAATTTGTACAATATTATTCGGAAGACTTTCGATATTAGCACAACGTCATCATAAAGAAATTGTTTTTTCTAAGAAAAAACATTATTTTGTTAATCATTTATCTAAGACAAATTATTGCGTTTTTGTGAAAATTAAATTTTTAGGAGTTAAGTGAAAAACGAAAAGTTTATGTGCAATATTTAAATTTTATCATTTAGTGCAGATGTCAAAGATGGTAATTAATGTATTGAAATGTTTCAAAAATAAATATTGAAAAATAAAAGAAAAATCTCTAAGCTATTAATTTCTTCTTCTTCTTCTTAATCTTCTTCTTATTGTTATTAAATTAGTTAAATATAAACAGAGCCATTTTGTCTTAGATTAAAATGCATATACATCAACCTGGTAAGTTTCTTTCTTACTTTCATTAGGATACTAAGAATGTTTTCCGTAATTACTAATAAAAATCAGCAGATTTAAATTATTTAAACACACACACAGACACACACATACACACACATATATATTTTCTTTGCAACTGATCTGACGAGCTACTTTCACTGTTTCTGAAACTCCATGAACTGAAGCGTGGTACTAGTTTGACATCTAGGTCTCACCCTTTGATTGTCGAAACGGTTTAATTTTTACTCAAACAGCTTTTTATCACGCACTTCCCATCAGTGGAACCTCCTCCCTCTTATTTAGATAGATGATAACTATAACCTTCAAATATTCAAATATAATGTCAATCAACATGATGTCTTGATCCTGATAACCGTCCTTCTCTTGGTCCTTTCTACAAACGTCTTCTTTACTACTGCTCTCACTATCTGTAACCACCTGCGTTCTAGTAGCAATCTCGGACTCCGGACTCTTTTGGCCTGGTTAATATATATATATATATATATATATATATATATATATATATATATCCGATTCTCCCGTCGAAATTCAACGTATGAGGGTCAAGAAGATCAGTTTCCAGGAAACCGACAACCCGACAGCAGCACATGAAATCTTCATGCAGGACCATCCACACTTTTTGAAGGTTCCCGAAGGACCCATCTGAGATTTTGAAATCAGAGTTGTTCTTCTCCTAGACCAGTTGTCATCCAAGTCTGTCCTGCCATTTTCGCACGTAAGTGAATGTAATGGATTCGACTGGAATTCGAACTCGGCTCTGGGATTCCGCAATCCAAGCCGCTACCCATTACTCCACTGTGCCTCCACTAGGTCACACACATATATTGATAAAAATGAATACATTTATATAGGGATGTATATTTTATATAGAAATTTTAACAAATGAGTATATATATATATATATATATATTGAGTCTCTGTATATATATATATATATATATATATATATATATATATATATATATATATATATATATATATATATATATATATATATATATATATATTTGAAGAAAGAACAGTAAGATATACAATACGTTGTTCTTATTGATTTTTTGATTTTTTACAAAATAGTGCTCAATGAAAATTTACAGAGCATTAATATTATAAATTAACTGATTTAAAATATGTTTTTTTCGCTACACAGTAATAACCATGTTTAAGAAATGGAAGGTTCCATTTCTGAATCATAATTATTACTGTGAAAAAACATATATTTGAATCATTTAATTTAAATATACATATATATATATATATATATATATATATATATATATATATATATATATATATATTTCATTTCTAAATTTCTATATATATAAATATACATCCCTATATAAATGTATTCATTTTATCAATATATGTGTGCTGACCTAGAAATTTACCACACACTTTTATTTTTTCTTGAAGCTATGATATTTTGCTTTATATCTCTATTTTCAATCATATCTATCTTCCCAGTTCAGTCATAAGTTGATTGTCAATCAGTTTAAGTAAGAAATTACTGTAAAAGAATAAATCAATGACAACGAAAATATGATGTAGAAGACAAACATGAATTAAATGTAATGGAAATGATAAAAGCATGAAAGTGGAAAAGAGACAAATAGATCAGAAAAAGTATACATGAAAAGAAGCAGCTGAAGAAATGTATTATTATTTTTATTAATAGTACTATTATAGTAATCAGGGCCCGGGCAATGATCTTGAATGATCCATCTCTGTTTCATAAGGTAGCATGCATATGAAATGCACATTCCCTTGAACCTGAATTATGTAAAATAACCTATAATATTCATAATTCAACTAGAAAAATTGAAAATAAATACAATGTATCACAATACAAATTTGAGACATGTCATAATAGTTAATTCCGTTTTAAATAAGCAAGCTTTTGCGATAATTTGTAACATCAACTTGAGATTTTTTAGTTAAAAACGTTGAATAATTTTCACACTTTCAACATTATGGATAGAAAAAAGAGTGAATTTTATAGTGTGTATCTTCAAGAAGAGATGGGGCCCACAGAAAAGAAGTAGTTATGGAAGAAATATAAAAGATAGTGGTTGTAGTAGTAGTAGTAGTACCAGGAGAAGGAAGGAGTTAAAAATAATGTAACTTTAAAAATGCATCATCATTATTATTTGCAGTAGTAGTAGAAGTAGTTGTAGTAAAACAAGAATAAGAGAGAGGAGGATACATGAAAAAGAAGGAATGGTTCGACGACGAAGAAGAAGAAGAATGAAGAGGGCAAGAATGAAGAAGAAGAAAAGAAGAAGAAAGGAGACACTTTAAACGAAGAAACGTAAAAATGCATTAGTGGCAGAAGTGACTTCAAAGGGAATAACCTGGACTAATAAATGCAGCAGTAGTCGTAGTAATCATAGTAATAAGAGTAGTATATTTTTTGCTATTTCTTCTCTTTCGCCGTCGTCGTACCCCTTCTTCTTCTTCTTCTTCTTCTTGTAGTCGTAGTCGTCGTCGTCTTCTTCTTCATGTAGTCGTAGTCGTCTTCTTCTTCTTCATGTAGTCGTAGTCGTCGTCGTCTTCTTCTTCTTCTTGATGTAGTCGTAGTCGTCGTCGTTTTCTTCTTCTTCTTCTTCATGTAGTCGTAGTAGTCGTCGTCTTCTCCTTCTTCTTCATGTAGTCGTAGTCGTCGTCTTCTTCTTCTTCTTCATGTAGTCGTAGTCGTCGTCTTCTTTTCTTCTTCTTCATGTAGTCGTAGTCGTCGTCGTCTTCTTCTTCTTCATGTAGTCGTAGTCGTCGTCTCCTTCTTCTTCATGTAGTCGTAGTCGTCGTCTTCTTCTTCTTCTTCATGTAGTCGTAGTCGTCGTCTTCTTCTTCTTCTTCATGTAGTCGTAGTCGTCGTCTTCTTCATATAGTCGTAGTCGTCGTCTTCTTCTTCTTCATGTAGTCGTAGTCGTCTTCTTCTTCTTCTTCTTCTTCTTCGTCGTCGTCGTCAATCATAGTTTTCCACATTTTATTAGCCAAAATATCGTGCAACGGTTTTGAACTCTGTCGTGTTTAGAAAATGAGAATCGGCCATCTACACCCCGG